ACCATATATCTTATTTGTTTCATATTTTAAGTTCCTGTTAAGAGATTCCTAAAGTATGTGTACAGATTACATAACTTTTTGAAACCTTTGAAGCTAATTTAGTGACATAGCCACCAGAAAGCTTACTGTCAAGAGTCCTGCATTTTATTCTACTTTTCCCCTTCAGCTCCTGAAGTATAAGCAAGTCATTAAAATTCCATGTTTCTCCCTTCATCTAGAAAAATGTGGAAATAATTTGTTATGCATTTTCAGAGATGGCAGGATAAATGAACTATTTATCCATTATGAACTGTATGAACTATTATGAACTCTTTTGAACAAGGGCAACATAAAATTTAAATTTTGCCTCCCTATTTTTTTTCTGTGTTATTTTTCTCAGCATATAATTATATACTGAAGGGTCATTAACAGTTCTTTTGAGGGGAAATCATGAACTGGAAATCGAAATCTCTCTTACAAAGTTTTAGATCTATTTTATAATTTTAAAAAGTACTTACCATAACAGGTGACTCTAAGTGGATTTTCTATCACTTGAGGAGGCTCTGAGTTCAGAGAGAGCTTACAGATACATTACATGCAATGACAAATGTCCAAATTTAAAATGGAACCATAAACATTTTATTTTGGAGAGTGCACAGTGTGCTGAAAACTAAATGGGGAACAATAAATGTGCTATGAATGAAAGATTTTAAGAATAAAAATCATCCTCATAACAGAATTCACTCCATTTATTTAAAAAAATCTCCTTGTAAAATACCTTTGAATCTTAAAGTATATTTGTACTTTAGAAAGTTTTAACTCTTTCTGTTATATATATTAACTGTCATCATTCATCTTTCCTCTGCCCCCTATTAACTCCAAAAATTTACATTATCTTTAGAAGCTAACTTCAAAATGACATTTCAGTGTTAAAAAAGGCTCCCAGTTCCCCATCTGTCCTCACAAATGTGTGCAAGTACATTATAAAAAAGAAACATGTTATTATCAATGCACCCAATTTCTGAAGCACTATCATGCTGATCTGTTCATGGTGTATGTTTCCACCTTAAGCTTGGCAGGAAATGTCTGATTTCTTTTTGCTTAGTGAAGAAATTTTATCAGCATTGGTAGTATTAAATAACAAAGTGGGGACAGAAGGCCCACTAGGTTAGGCTTTAGCTTCTGTGATAGATGTCAACAGGTAAGATATAAGGAGACTTGTTTTAAGATTGTTTATTCATAGATGAAAATGGTTCGTTTTAGCTGAAACTACTTAGATTACAAAGCATTATCTCTAAAATTGCTCACTTTGTTTTTTTTTTTACTTCTTTTAATCGGATTTTGCACATTACTGCTCACATTGACATGTTCCTTATTAAAAACTTCTGTTTGGAGCCTAATTGTCTAAAACTATCACGATATGGTTTTCTATATAAAGGTTTTAGGATGCTTTGCATGAAAAAGAATGCTTTACTACTAATGTATTATGACAAAGTTACTTTGCTGCAAGTGACCATTGATAGTCACTGTTACTGCCCAATAGTAACATGTTGTCCTAGAAGAACATTTCTTCTTCAAGAGGTAAATTTTTTATCTTAAAGTTTTTAAATTAGTAAATGCCACTATCAGCTGCTAATTGCTTCTTTCTAGTAATGGCTATAATTGGTATATTCTGTTGATTTTATCCCTGACATGTGGTTTTATAAATTTTCCAAAGGTAAATTAAAAGCCCTTGTGCAGCAGTTTGGTGGAAAGCAATGACTAAGACTGAGGAATCCTTTTCCATCACATTTGATCTAAAAAGGAGTACTGTTTCTTTAAGTATAAAGACCATGATTCTACCCCAAAATACAAGCATAAATAAAATTTGATTTATTCTGACAAATTGTGATTCCTTACACATTCTCTTGAGTTTTGAAACAGGAATATTTTTATTCTCCAAAAAAGAGATATAAGTATTAAAGGATAATGTTAATGAACAGTTAGTGATTGTTAATTTTTAAAAAGTCATTTATAGACGATCCTAGAATATCTACATTTGAGCAGTCACAATATTTCTAAAGGGATATAAGACAATAACACTAAGTCTTTCTTGACATTGTAAAACAAGTCACAAATAAAAGGTACTAAACATTTGGTTAAAAACATCTGATATATCTAATAAGAAAATTATCTAATGATATGAGCCAAGATGGTGAACTACAGTTCATTTTTTTTTACTTTTCATACAACTTAATGTCAAAAAAAGTTATCTAAAGAAATAAACTATAGTCTCATATTAAAATCATATTACAAATCTAATAATTTTATAAAATCTTTTCTCATATCTAGTCAATCAACAAATATTCACTTTGTTTCAGTCAGACCTACAAAAACTAATATACTTACTAAAGATTTTCCCTATCCCTCGCTTCTACACATCCAGAAAGCTTAACATTTGTCTTTTAATTATATATATATATATATATATATATATATATATATGTGTGTGTGTGTGTGTGTAAAAATGACAAATAAGCAACATGCTACTTAAGATATATTATAGGGTAGGTATAGATTTAGTGCAATCTCTAATTGTTATCTCTAAAATATTATGTAATAATTAATGTCTATAAAAGACTCTAAATGGGCTTCCCTGGTGGTATAGGGGTTAAAGTCTCAGGGTTATCAAGCTATCTCCAGCCACTGCAGCAAGAGTTTGATCCTCGGCCAGGGAGCTAACTCACATAGTGCAGCAGACCTCTTTCTCCTGTCTCACACGCTGCTCCCCTCAGTATTGCATTTCAACAGATCAGTGTGTTCTGCTCCCCACTACGTCTATGGTGAATCCTTTCATCTCCCACACCTCTGGCCTGTCCCCCAGTGCTTGTATAAATAAATAAAATATCATAAAAATATTTAAAATAAAAAGACTCTGAATCATTGAAAAGAATATAATCTAAACTATATTTAATAATATATTTAATAAGTCAACAACAAACAAACAGACTTTAATTCCAAGACATAGCTATTTTGTGATAGTAACAAACGATAGAAGGGAACTTCAGAAAGAGACTAGAGAAAGAACAGCAAAGAGAAATATGGAAGCAAAGAAGAAGGGAGAGGAGGGCAGTCAGAGAAAAAGAGAAAGATAAATTAGAGAAATGAATCATTTCTTTTAAATCTAATATTTCACTTAGTAAAGTTTATTATGTCTTGAGAGTTCATTATCCCTTAAAAATTATTCTTTTTCAGCTTGCTATTGGTGTTCATCTATAATTTCCTCTTACTACTCAGCTCTAAAACAGTAGGCTAGGGGGGCCTCCCTGGTGGCACAAGGGGTTAAGACGCAACCTATGAAGCTGTCTGCAGCCACTGCAGCACGAGTTCAATTCCCCCGCCAGGGAGCTACCCACATGGCACAGCAGACCTCTCCTGACTCGCCTGCTGCTTCCCTCAGCAGTGTATTTCACTAGCTCTGCCTGTTCTGTTCCCCACTCTGTCTCTGGTGAATCCTCTCACACACACACCCCCACCTCTGGCCTGTACCCCAGTTCTTATATTCATAAATAAATAAATCTAAAAAAAATAGTAGGCTGGCTACAATAATTTCATTGATAAGTAATGTACTGCTATTTTTAATACCAAGTTTGACACTTTATCTTATTTAAGTCCTAGTATAATTAAAAATGAAGGGAATCAGATTTCTACCTGGAAGAAAATGTATCCACATATATGGGAACATAAGCACAATAAGAAACACAATCAAGGGTAAAATACATTTTAAGTTGTGATCAAACCACTATAAACCTAAGTTAAATAAAGTCTGCCTCCTGTTTTCTTTTTGATTTATGAATAAACTAATAATGTGTATTAGCAAAGGAACTTTATTTTCTCAGAAATTTATTTTATCGATGAAATGAAAGCTAAGATACTTTTTTAGAAAGATAGTACTTATCCACAGTAAGTAAAATGGAGGTACCAGAAGAGACAACTAATTGCACCATTACAGAATCATTGAATTGGAAATGATTTTACTGCTTTTCTTTGACTTCTCAAGATAAGCAGTAAACTTTCTTAAAGTCTTCCCTTTCAGTTATGATAGTTCTGAATTCTGCAAAAAAATTTGGTCCAGATAAACAAGTACCTGTATTTCATTTTCACAAAGATTTATCATATGCTTTAAATAAGAAGGATGTGTTCATTATGTGATTAATTAAAATATATCTAAGTAATATTTATTTCTTACCATTCATATTTAAGACAATAAAATATTTCATACACAAAATATTTTTGTTAATGCTTAAGATTAATACAGTTATCATTATTGCTTTTTTGAGTGATAAAGAGAACAATCAGAAAAATCAAAAGTTCATTTTATAAATAAGGCAAGCCTGAAAATACTGAAAAGTAATTTTTCATGTAAAAATTTGTTTTATTTTCATTTTACATTTGGAACTTTTACTCATTCCTTCAAAAATCAATTTAGTAATTACATAGGACCCATAATAAATGCTACTGGCAAATAATAAAACACCCAACTCATGAGTTTTGGTAACCTAAGGCAATTTTTGATAACTGCAAAATCAAGAAATTAGTTGGTCATAAAATAAATTTAATGGGTGTAACTAGCATTTAAAAAGGGGATACAAAATAACACAGCACAGTAAGAATGATATATTTCTGTTTGAAGTTGTTTCAATAGTGTTTAAGTTCATAAACATATTCTCTATATTATTTTATAATGTATATTTAATAAATACCATGATAAAGTTAATAAATGAAATTATTACTATAATAACAATGTTAAAAGGAAATAACTTACTGTTGAAGTCCTCTATATAAACAACATTTTCTGCATTATTTTTATGGGCTTATATATTAACATAGCAAATGTTCCTTATCTTTCCTGTCTCTACTTTGCACACTTATGTTCTAGTATGGTCACAATAATCACGTTCCCAAGTCAGTTAAGTATGATTTCATAAAGGAAACAATGGAATAGGTTAAGGCTTATAATCTTCATGTTGATATACTCTTACCTGTTGGTAATCCTTTTCCTCTCAATCGGTCTCGAATAGCCTGGCTTCGATCAGACTTCTGTTCATTGTTACGGGAGAGCTGATCTGTCTGTAGACAGGAAATCAAGAATCAAATTTGACAAAAGAATCTCCCTTTTTCTTTATGGTAATTGTCTATGAATTGACACTAGATAGACAATTGGTGGGGGGACACAGCAGTAAATAAAGACATTTGCACATTTGTTATTGCTAACTTATATTTTCCTTGAATAAGATTGATGTAGCCCAGTTCTGGCCAATTCATCCTCAGGAAATAAAAAGCAAGAAGAAGGTACTAAAAAAGTAATGCAAACTATCAAACAAAGGTAGTCAAGTTAAAAGTTGTAAAGATAAATTTCATTTTAAAACTGTAAATCTGAAATATTCATTTTTTCAAAACTGGTATTTTCATCTCTCAAGTTAGATGGCATTTTTAAAACTATTAATTCCAGCTTTCTCATAATTTCACCTATGCATTGAGGATACTAACGTAAATTATTTTCAAAAATAATTCTATAGATTTTGTCTGCTAGAAATTATGTTAAGAAATACTGCCTTTAAATTAAATGAGTTTGTATTAAAGGATGACAGTTAAATTTAAATCAATGCTCTTTTGAGACCCCTTGATAACAAAATTTTTATGTAGTCTTAATTTTTTAATGACTTTACCTGGGCAGCATGAAATGAAATCAAATGCCAGAGTACAAGGGATAAAAACTTAGAACAAAGTTTAAAGATAATCAATTTATATTTTCAATTTATATTTTATCAATTTACATTTAATCAATTTACATTTTAATTAAAGGAAAAATTTCAAGAAATAAATGGAGAGACAATTTACATAAATTTAACAGCAAGAACACATATATACACACACACAGATATACAGATTTTAATATTTCTCTATTAATGAAACTTCTTTACATATGGATTAGGTCTAAGGCAGTATATTCAAGGAATTATGTTTCCTGCCTAGAAGAAGGTTTAAATGAAAACATTTTCTAAATAATATTATTTAAATGACATAAATGATACTGCTTCAGATTTCATTTTACTGTCAGTAAAAGACATTTGGTATCTGAAAATTCCTGAATATCACTATTAACAACAGCTGCTATTAATTGAGCAATCACTACAAGGCAGGTGCTTATATGCTTTATGTCTAAGCACTTAAAAGAGCTTACATACTCTTTAATTCTCAAAAAATCCCTGATGTGGTAGATATTATTATTATTCTCAAGTAGATCAGGGGAAAATAGTAAAAAGAAAAATTCTAAGGATGTTGAAGCAGTTAATAAACATTGAAATAATTATCTTCGTGTTTACCAGAGTTATTACCATCCTCAAACATACTATGATCTTTGCTACATCATAGCATTTATTCAAGATTACTTTCTATCTCATCTATAGATATAGTTGAAAGTGCTATTTTTAAATGCAGTCACACTTTGCATTCTTTCCCCTCAAAATTTCAAGCTTTTAAAGTTTTTATTACTTTTCATACCATTCTTTGTATTTTGTAATTAAGAAAATGGAAAGTTTTTAGAAGATAAATATTTTATTCAATTTAGCACAGATTTCATATGCAGATGAACAATAAACCTCTACTATAACAAGCAAATTAACTGTGCTATCCTCAAAGAAATGCAGATGTTTTATCTGATCTGGACAATTATTGGGGTTGATAGAATTTCATGGAGGCATATTTCTTCATGGAAAGTTGGAAGAAAAAATATTTCCTACAATTTTACTATGTAAGTGTAAAATCAGCAGACATCAGTCTAACAGGAGCTTTGGTTAATGGAAAGATCCCCGAATTGATTAATAGGAAACTAAACCCACAAGATGTGTGGTTCTCAATTTCCTCAATAATAAAGTGAAGGAGCTAGTACAAATCAACATTTCTCAAAAAGAGCTTTATAAAACATTAGTATTTTGAGAGTTCTATGAAAAATGCGCAAATAAGTTTGGGAAATGTTTCACCTACATGCCTATGCCCCTTTAAAGGTTACTAATACAGTCTAGTATATTTAAAGTTCTGCAGTGAAAAATATATATAAAATTTCCTTTAAGTAGTTTGTCCTCAAGCTTATTTGATCATAGAAGAATTTATAAATATATCTGAAAATAAATAGGAAACTTGTTCTAGATAGAGGGCTTTCTTAGATTTTCAGTAGCTTTACCTTTGTTTCAAATAAAGATCATGCGCAGAAATATAAACAATCCAAACTGCAGCAACTCTATTAAAGGAGGGAAAATAAGAAGCCAAGAACCACCCCATTCCCTCTGCCTCTCTGACCTATATACCCCTCACTCCAGTACCACAGAGGCTCCCTCTGCAAGGTGAGGGACCACTACTTAGCTATCATAACCCTAAAGGATAAAAGCAGATAAAGTGTAAGCAGATCAGATATCTAATACCAAGGAGTGCCCAAATTAGGAAAAATAGGATAGAATATAACTTAACAAGTGCAGAGGAAGGACTAATTACTTATGGTTTGTTGTTCTTGGGATTCTTTATATCCAAAGTTAAGAGAGAAAATGAAAGCATTCAGGTCTTGGTACAGTCTGGCAAGGATATACATGCACGTATTCCTCTGGCATACTAGATGCTAGTATCCAGAGAGGGTGGGGAGGGTTTCAGTTCAAGAAGATCTAAATATCAGCTGAAAATAGACAAATAAATGGCTACAAAAGAAGTATAAATCAATATAAAGTGCATGTAAGTAATTTTAAAGCCCGTTTTCTTATCAATGTGTTTTTCTCTAGGCACTCACAATAAATAGGAATGTACTAAAATTCCTTAGGCAAAGATGTAAAAAAGGAAGGCAGAGCAGACACTGTTAACTCTAACATACTCTGAGTCTATGATAAGTTCTAGAATAAAGTTCATAAAAAGAAAAAAGACTAGCATATAAAATCTACAAGACCAGTTAGGCTTCTAAATATTAAGTACTCTTTCTAATAAACAGCATCAGTATACAAAGTTCAATCTTCTGTTTCTAATGTTCATTGAGAAAATGCTATCTATATAGTACCTTTAATTAAAAAAAAGGAAAATTTTAATATACTATTAAACTTTAAAATATGAACAATATGTACCAATTGGAACTGTAGCTTACCCCAGAAATATTTCCCAGAACCAGTTTCACCAGCTGTTTCACATAGGAAAATGAAGGTGCGCAATTGCTATTCCTAATGTGGGCACTGCAAGCATCCAGGAGAGTCCGGACAGAAACCCGAGCATAAACAACATCCTCACACATTCCAAGCAGTATGCTGTTGAGATGATCTCCAAGTTTGATTGGCTGAATAAAGAAAGGAAAAGTCATGTTTACAAGTGTGAGTAAATTTCTTATCTAACACAAGATAAGCTATTGCAGGAATCACAGGAGAATACCAAACATAGCTCAATATTTGGAGGAAATGAATTCCTTATCTGATAGCATATATGTATATCTTACTGCATTTTACCTTTGCATAATCTAAAAAATATTATTGGCAGAAGATGGTTAATATCTGTCTTCCAAGGTAGAAAGTATTATAGAAAGCCCTTTTTCCTATGAATAAATGGAAATCTTTTATTAATTAGTTACCCCCCCACACACACATCCTCATTTTGGGGGAATGAACAATTTCTTAACATTCAATAAAATGCAATATACTCAAAATATATTAAATACAATTTTATGCTATTATGATAACTTAGAAGAGATTTTGTATGTTGTAGTAAATCAAGGCCATTTAAATAAAAGTTTCTGATCCTTTTCTGATTCATAAGCATGATGTTTAGATGTTCATAAAATTGTGTGAGATGTGTCTCCCTCAAACCTTGTTCCAACACAGGCAGCATTGCCCTTCTGATTAAACACACACACACACAAACACATACACACACACACGTCTCCATTGTTCTGATGAAATAGAAAAGCCAAAATTAAAATGTGAGGTTTTTTTCAAACTAGTTGACATAATTTTGTAGACTATTATATACAAATGACCAATAAGCATATGAAATGCAAGAAATGCAAACGAAAAGAAATCACTACACTCCAATAATGGGAGTTTCATTATTTCCATTTAAACATGTGAGCCCCTTCCACTACTCATCCACTTGTATATAATTTCCTTAAGATCTCACCTCAAAGCAGCCTTTTAAAAAACCTATTCTAATCCTCTAAGTTTAAAGAGGTCAAATCTGTTTTTCCTTACTACTGTCCATTTCCCCTAGCAGAGCATTTGTTGCACTGTGTTGTAATTGGTCACGTAATTGTCTGTACCCATAAATGGACTCAAGGGCATGGGCCATTGCATTCTTAACATTGATTACAGAGTACAGATTGCAATTAGTATTAAATATTTCCAAAATGATTATGATTTCTGATAGCAGCAAATCCAAGCAGTTTATACTGATAAATACAATTTATACATTTGACTTCATTTTATTACCAGAAGAGTTAATTACAATCTGTGATCACATTTTACATTTAAATTAGGTTGTATAATATAGGAAACCAATATACCTAGTGACAACTTAATATTCTTATTTACATTTTTAGAGTTGAAACCGAAGAAAGTAAATTGGGTGATTTTTATGCAAAATGAGACCAAAGCAAGTTGAAGAATATGATTTATCCTTTATGGAACTTAGGATGTTTGAATTTTAGACTAAATACCTAAAGTGATTATTATTTTGTAATTAATAAAAACACTAGTAGTTATTTTTGGTTTTGACTTCTAAACGCCTTAAATAAAAACTTAATTCTGGGCCTTCCCTGGTGGCGCAGCGGTTGAGCGCTGGGCTGCAAAGCTGCCCACAGCCTCTGCAGCACCAGTTCAATCCCATGGCATGGCAGACCTCTCCTGCCACTCCTGCTGCTCCCCTCAGCAGTGTATTTCATTGGTCTGCCTGTTCTGTTCCCCGCTCTGGTGAATTCTCTCACCCTCCCAAGCTTCTGACTGTACCTAGTGCTTGCATAAATAAATAAATAAATCTTTAAAAAAAAAAAAAAACAACTTAATTCTATGTTATATCTTTGTTGATGAAATATAATTATTTTAGGGCCTCCCTGGTAGTGCAGGGGTTAAAATCAGCGCCAACAAGCTATCGCCAGCCATGAGTTTGATCCCAGCCAGCCAAGGAGCAACCCACATGGCGCAGCCAACATCTCCAGTCTCACAGGCTGCTCCCCTCAGCAGAGTATTTCAGTCAGTCTGCCTGTTCTGTTCCCGGCTCTCTGGTGAATCCTTTCATACTCCACCCCTCACCTCTGGCTTACACCCCAGTTCTTGTATGCACAAATAAATCTTTAAAAAAAAAAAAAAGAAATACAATTATTTTAAAACTTACAATAACTATTCACAATCATGTTTATATTGAGCCTTTAGGAAGCAGAATTTAGGAAATAGAGACTAGAAACAGCCCAATTGTCATGAGAACCTTAAGAGCTCAGAAAGCATTACTATTATCTTCATCTACCGCTGCAAGGGTAGCACAATATTGTGAAGTGATAAGAAGAAAAAGGAATGAAACACAAACTATAGTCACAGATATTAATCGAAGCTACTGGTCCACAGATTTGGCACCAAAGAAGGCTATCAATTTCAGTATAAGAATGAATCATCAAAGACTTTTATAATCTGCTTCTATCAGCTATTAAATTGGAAGAAATAAAGTATACTCCCATTTGTCTTGCTGTAATTTTGAAGAGGTCATTACTCTCATAGATTTAATTGTTGAAACTTGGCTGGTGACTGCTATAATTCTAAGAATATTCTTAGAAAAAAATTTCTTTATTATTTTATTCTGACATCATGATGTTAAATAAATTACCAGCTTACAAATGCTGATGTGCCTAACAGCATACTATAGAACACATAATTTAAAAAGTGTGGAACTATACATTTTGACAACTTGACTTACTTGGCTCTGAGGTACTTCATGATCAGCACCCCAATACAATGTCATTCCCAGAGAATAAATGTGGATCTAGGAATAAAATTTAAAAAATTATTTTATGATAAAACTACATTAAAAATACTAGCAAATATTACATATTGAAAACTTTTTGTTCCAAAGGAACTATAACTCACAATTTAAGAATCATCATTTCATATTTTGCATAAAAATATGGTAGCTTAAAACTGAAAATATGACTAGAAGCTGTTAGAACAGACTTTCCCCCCAAATGTCCCTGCCAATCCTCTATGTGTAAATCACTTTTATTTGTTCTTATTTATTTCAAAGTTTCTTATGTAAATGCAAGCAAATATGAACATATATCTTATTTTCTTCCTCTTATACAAAAGGTGAAGAACTTTAAAAATTACTGCACAAGTTGCACTGTTATGTCCATATCAATGTTCAGAGATCTCATTCTTTGCACTGCTGCACAGAACTCCATTTTGCAGCTACAGCGTTGCCTACTTAACTGACCTGTTATCAATGGACAATTAAGACTTGTTTTTCAGACTTTTACTGAAAAGTCTGTTTTCAGAAATAGTTTTATGATGTGTTAGTTTGTACACTCAATTACTTCTCATGAAATGATTCTGAGACTATGGATGGAAGGGTAACTCATCTTTAGTTTTTGATACATATTGCTAGATTCCCCCACATATAAGTTGTATCACTTTGCACTCCATCAGAAACATGTAAGACTACTCCACAAGCCCTATCTAGGAAATGTATTATGAAGATTTAGAATTTTGGCAATCTGAAAAGGAGGAAACAACAACTCATTGAAGTTTTGATTATGTTTTTCTTACTATGAACAGACGGCAGGAGTAGATCCAAAGAAAGCTGGGTCAAAACAGAGTTCTCTTACGGTGTTTGTTTGGTTCTTAAAGATTGGAAAAATAAAAACCGTTTATGGGATGGATATGATCCAACTGGGAAAACTGGAACTGCAAGACAGTGTGGAGACTGCTAAAAGAGCATTTCTTAGTGGCATGAGAATGTGGAAGTTAATGCACAAATGGAGTTGACTTTACAGAGGAGAATGGACAGTTCATCTTTAGTAAAGGGTCAAGGAATATGGTTATTTATGGTCATGGGATCCTGGGAAAATGATGCTGATAAACAAGAAATGAGATTTTTAGCTGAAAGTGAAAACAGTTAATCTTTCATAATAATCATTTTCCAATTTCCCTCCTGTTAAGAGATTCGGTGCTAAACGTTCAAGCTCATCTCTATCATGATCTTATGCATCTTTTTTGCACCAATTTGACTCCAGTGCCATCTTATTTTCTTGCCTTTATTTTCAGCCTATTATTTTTATTATATGAACTGTTCCAAATCCTCTTCAGAAATAGGTGGGGTAGATACAAAAAAAAAACGTGTACTGTCCTAACAATCTCACAATATTTTAATCTATTGTTAACACTGCCTTTAAATTACAGATTATAAAAGTTGTTCCTCTTTTCAAATATTTTTAAGGCTCCCAATTTATCTAAATTCTTTAAAATAATATCAAGGCTTATTCTGACATGTCTACACTTCCATTTTCCAGGCATATTTTTGAAGTTTTCCTCATGTTATCACATCTTTCCCTATCATAACCTAAACACTTCAGCACTACTAGATAATTTCCTGATCGCAAAATAAATCAATATTCCTTGAGCAATTCTTTCTACCAAGAATTTCTTTCACCTGTCAAATCCTACCAATTATTGATAGTCCAGCAAAAATCATTTATGATGTATGTCATATAAACATTCTCAAAGAAATAAAGCATTGTCTCTCATATGATATAGTTATATTTCATTTATATCTCTGAGAAAGTTAACTAATAATATCTGTAACATAATTAAGATGTGCTGTTGCTTGCTTTCCTTAAGGAAATCTTTTTTTTTTTACATATCTTAGTATCACTTAGCAACTAATATAAAGCTTGTACATAATGGATATTCAATATATGTCATTTGAATTCAACTAGATGTTCGTGAAGTTCTGTTTTATCACCTTTCTACTTAGACTTCAAAGAAACTTATATGTAAACACCTTTTCAAAGACTGAAAAACATAGAAATTATCAGAAAGTGCTTGCAGCACTGGTCATTCATGATGGACTGAACAAATGCAGAAGCAGTTAAGAGTAGAGTCAGGGCCTCCCTGGTGGCACAAGGGGTTAAGTCTCAGCACTATGAAGGTATCTGCAGCCACTGCAGCACAAGTTTGATCCCCAGCCAGGGAGCTACCCACAAGGCGCAGCAGATCTCTCCTGTCTCGTCGCTGCTCCCCTCAGTAGCGTGTTTCAGTCAGTCTGCCTGTTTTTTTCCCCACTCTGTCTCTGGTGAATCCTCTCACAACACGCCCCCACCCATGCTCCTCTGGCCTATGTATTTATATACATGTATTTATATACATGTATTTATATACATGGGTATGTATTTATATACATACCCCAGCTCTTGTATGTATATAAATAAATAAAATAAATCTTTAAAAACAAAAAGTAGAGTCAACAGAAATTAATTCCTGACCAATTTAGGAAAGATTTCCTGAGATGAATGAAAATTAAAAATGATGCCTTCCTTGCAAATTGGGAAAATAAAGGTCCATTCATTTACAGGGAGTACAAAGAAGAGGACATAGGTTTCAGGATATGAGAAGAAATATTGTCTTTAGTTTCATATCTACAGACTCTGAGTTATCTGTGTGATATTCCATTGAAGATATCTAATCAGTGGCTATATATATATGTCAATAATTTTGTACTAAAGATACATAAATTTGGGCGCTGGCAGCATATAGTCACTAATTTTAGGGTTAAAAAAATATGATAAAAGATTGTAACCTACTGCCCAGAAAAATAAATATACACTTTTTGTTAATATATAGTTTTTGAATTTTATTGTTTTTTTTTAAGATTTATTTATTTATGCATACAAGAACTGGGGTACAAAAGTCAGAGGTATGTGTGGGGGGGTGTGTGTGAGAGAATTCACCAGAGACAGAGTGGTGGACAGAACACGTGGACTGACTGAAATACACTGCTGAGGGGAGCAGCGGGCAGGTCAGGAGAGTTTTGCTGCACCATGTAGGTAGCTCCCTGGCCAGGGATCGAACTCATTCTGCAGTGGCTGCAGAGAGCCTCATAGGTTGCATCTTAACCCCCTGAACCACCACGGAGGCACCAATATACAGTTTTGAATTTTAAATGGTCTCTAGAAACCATTGCTTTGACCTCTGAGGGTATCATGAAACATGAGAGTTTGATCCTTTGATATGAAACTGAAAGTTTTTCCACTAAGATCTGGTATAAGAATGTCCACTTTACCACTATTATTCAACATGGTAGTTAGCAGACCTCTTCTGTTTCTCCTGCTACCCCCCTTAGCAGTATATTTCAGTAGATCTGCCTATTCTTCTCCCCACCCTGTCTCTGGTGAATCCTCTCACGCCCCACCCCTCTGGCCTCCAAACCCTATCTTGTATGCATAAATAAATAAAAATAAATTTCAAAAAGGATTTAAGGAGTAAAACTAAGAAAGAGGGAGGAACGACATCTACAATGACAGCTATAAAATAGTTTTTAAAGAAACAGAAAACACAAAGAAATGGAAATATATTTCCTGCTCATGGAGTGGAAGAATTAACATTGTTAAAATAGCCATCTCACACAAAGCAATATACAGGTGCAACGCAATCCCCTATCAAATTTTCATTGGAATTCTTCTAACAAATATAACACACATTACTAATTCACATGGAACTACAAAAGACCCTACATAGAAAAGCAATCCTGACAAAAAAGATGAAGAACAGTGGTATAACACTGCCAGCTATTAAGCAATACTACAAAGCTATAATAATTAAAAAAAGATGGTACTCGAATAAAGACACAAAGACCAATGGAGTAGAACTGAGAGTCTAGAAATAAACCCACACCTATATACAGTTAATTTATGACAAAGAAGCTGAAAGTATACACTGGAGTAAAGACCACATGTAAAAAAATGAAATTAGTTCACTATCTCACACCATACACAAAAATTAACTCTAAATGGATAAAAGACTTGGGTGTAAGACCCAAAACCATAAATATTCAAAATAAAACATTGGCAAAATATTCCGAAACATTGGCAAAACATTCCAAGTGATGTATTTGTGAACTTTTCTCCAACAAGATAAACAAATGAGACTATATAAACAACTGGGCGTACATCAAACTAAAAAAGTTCTGAAGAGGAAATGAAACTACCACTGAAACAAAAAGACAACCTACTGAATGGGAGAAAATATTTGCACACCATACAATCAATAAGGGGCTAATAATCAAGGTCTATAAAAAACTGCAACAAGAAAACAACTCAATCAAAAAATGGGCAGAAGAGCTAAACAGGCACTTCTCTAAAGACAAAAACGGCCAACAGGTATATATCACATAGCTCATCATCACTATCAGGTAAACGCAAGTCAAAACCACAATGAGGGCCTCCCCGGTGGCGCAGCGGTTGAGCGCTGGGTTGCGAAGTTGCCCGCAGCCTCTGCAGTGCCGGTTTGATCCCTGGCTGCTCCCCGGCCACCGAAGGAGGGTCCCACATGGCACGCAGACCTCTCCTGCCGCCCGCTGCTCCCTTCTGCCTGCTCTGCTCCCCGCTCTGTCTCTGGTGAATTCTCTCACCCTCCCGTGCTTCTGACTATACCCAGTGCTTGTATAAATAAATAAATAAATCTTTAAAAAAAAAAAAAAAAACCCACAATGACATATCATCTCACACTTGTGAGAATGGCATATATCAGAAAGACCAGCAACAAGAAGTACTGGTAAAGATGTAAAGAAAAAGAAAGACTTATAAACTGTTGGTGGGAATATAGACTGGTTTAGCCCCAGTGGAAAACAGTATAGAGGTTTCTCAAAACAGTAAAAAGATTTCCCATATATTCCAGAAATTCCATTGTAGGTAATTCCCTGAAAAGTGCACAAACACTAATAAAAAGGGATGCATGCAACCCTGTGCTCATTGCAGCACCGTCTATACTAGGCAAGCAATGGAAACAACCTAAGTTCTCTAAGACAGATGAGTACACTAGGAAGATGTGGTACGTGCACACATTGGAACTGCTCAGCAACAACAAAAAAATAAATTCTTGACTTTTCCCACAAAATGGATGGAACTGAGAGGATTATGCTAAACTAAATAAATCAGAAGGAGAAAAATAAATGTCATATTGTGTCACTTATATGTGGAATATAGAGAAACAAAACAAAGATTCAGATAAAGCGATTGTAATGGCATTGTTTTCTTGATTTCTTCCTCTTTTACCTTGTTGTCTGCAGAGGAACACCACTTGTTTTTGTAAATTGATTTTGTATTTACCCAAAGGACACATAAACATCAATTCCAAAGAGCACCTGCACCCCTATGTTTATAGCAGCACTGTTTACAATAGCTAAGCTTTGGAAACAACCCAAATGCCCAAAAATAGATGACTGGATCAAGAAGATGTGGTACATATACACCATGGAATATTACTCAGCATTCAAAAAAGATAAACACATGCAATTTGCAGCAACATGGATGGCGCTGGAAGGGATCATGCTCAGCGAAATAAGCCAGAAAGAAAAAGAAAAATAACGGATGGTCTCACTCATAGCAGGAATCTAGAAAACTTAAATAAGGGACCAGGAAAAAGAATAACTATAAGAAAGTGAAAATCAAAATCAACAAACAACTATGAACCAGAGACACTCTGTAGGGGGTGGGGAGGGGAGGGATTGGGGTCAAAATAAGGGGGTTGCAATTGTATGGGGAATATAAAAATGAAATTTATAAAAAAAAAAAAAAAAACATAGGTACTTTGCAGGTCTAATGCCAGGAATATATGGCTCCTTACAGCAGCAAAGTTATCAAACATGGCAGTATCAAATAACCACTTGGTTAACTTAAAAAAATCTCCCATTCTCCCAAAACACACTCCACAAAACAAAACAAAACAAAAATTGATTTGTAACCTGTCACTTCACTGTAGCGATTTATCATTACAATTATTTTTCAGCAGAGTCTTTAAGAAATATTCATATTATCATATAATCTGCAAAGAGTGACAATTTTACTATTTCTTTCCCAATTTGAATTCCTTTTTTATATCCTCCTTGGCCTAACTGCTCTAGTTAAGACTTCCACACTACGTTAAATAATAATGGTTAAAGTGAACATCCTTGTTTTGGACCAGACTTTGGTAGAAAGCTTTTAGTTTTTTTACCACTGAGTATACTAGCTGTGGTTCTGTCATATGTGGCCTTTATTATGTTGAGGCATGTTTCATGAGACTTTTATCTTAAGTACAATAGTAGTTGTATCTTATTAAATCTTATTGATATGGTTTATGATTTTTTTATCATTCTTTTTGATGATATGGTGAATTATGTTGATTGATTTTCAGATGACGTACTATTCTTTCACTCTAGAATAAATCACACTTGGTTATGGTGCATGATACTTTTAATGCATTGTTGAATTCAGTCTGCTAAGATTTTGTTGAGGATTTTTGCATCTATGTTCAATAGGGAATTTGGTCTGCACTGGTTTTTGTTGTTGTTTTTGTGGGTTACTTGTCTGGTTTAGGCATTGTGGAAATGTTGGTCACATAAAATGTGCTGGGAAGTATTGACAATTGCTCACATTTTCCCTTAGATCCATTAGTTTTTATAAAACTATTTTGAATTCTTAAAAAAATATGAACTTTTTTGAACACACTATCATTTAATATTTTACAGTATTTTCTCCAGAGGATTGAAGAAGGGTGGCCCAGTGTCCTTTGTGATCCCCACCAAAATAAAAAATACAATCAAGCAAGAAACTTAATGGTTACCTTTTCAACATCTGAGAGAGAAGTTAGTGATTGATTTTGAAGAACTTCAGGTGCAGTGAATGCGCGAAGATCCTGATTGGAAATATTTTCATCTGTAAATGATACACTACCCGACGGCAGCAACAGGAGAGACCATGGAGAAATGATGAAGCCAAGAGCAGCAGGATCGGCAATGCTTACTGGTTTGTAACCATATAGAATAAAAAGAAAAAAGAAAGGAAATTGCTTAAAATTATAACAAGCGGAAATACAAATCATTTAAATGAATATCTCAGTCTGTTCAGACATATCTTAATGTGCAGTTACATACATCAAATCAACACATTTAAAAGACAGTGAGTTACATATATCTACTAATACTAGTATTATTAACAAAAATGCCTTGAAGGGGCCTCCCCTGGTGGCGCAGTGGTTGAGCGCTGGGCTGTGAAGCTGCCCGCAGCCTCTGCAGTGCTGGTTCGATCCCCGGCCACCAGCGAGGGTCCCACGTGGTGCACAGACCTCTCCTGCCATGCCCGCTGCTCCCCTCAGCAGTGTATTTCGTCAGTCTGCCTGTTCTGCTCTCTGCTCTGGCTCTGGTGAATTCTCTCACCCTCCCGCACTACTGACGGTACCCAGTGCTTGTATAAATAAATAAATAAATCTTTAAAAAAAATAAATAAGAAGGGCCTGTGGGATGTTTTATACCAATTTATGGACCCCCAGGTTGAGTCCTAATTTGGTGCTTTTAAACTGATAATTGCTTTGGTAAGTCATCAGATTTGGAGGTAAATTTTAAAAAATAATGAAAGTTAATATGTGCATCAAAATATTTGTTTGAATTTGGAATTGTGTTTGCATTTGTTCATTACCTCACTAAAGTTTTAGTTGTCTTACTGTTAAATGTGATCAACAGGGTCTCCAATTTTTTTTTTAATGTTTGCCTGTATGGGTGCCTAAGAATTTATGTTTAGGAGAAATTTTTAAAATTTCTTTACTTTTCAGTATGCCTCTTCTCAAAAACAATGGTATGAATCAGAATCAACAAATAAACTTAGAACTTCATTTTGTCCTCCTACTTCAAATAGAATTTACTATAGGTTTTAAGATAACTGCTAAGTAAAGTATGTCACAGACTCAAACTGCTACAGGAAAACCACAAAAGAACTGTAACTGCCAATGATCTTATTATTCAGTCTAAATGGGTTATACTGATTTCTAAGTCAAATTGTAAGAAATTGACAGAAGTCTATGGAACAGTACTGCGTTCCCTGAAGACAATTTTCACTAGAATGGAATCATTTATTCTTTCTGACTTTTTAGTTTTAACCTAGGTTAAAGATTCTGGTAATCACAATTAGTATCACTTATCAATAAAATTGTAAACTGCTAAAAACCAACCCTCTTTGAAAATTAAAGCAACTATATATTTTCCTGAAATTTTATGAATCTGAAATGTCTTTAATAACAATGTTAAGGAAGAAAGACAGATTTGAATGCACCTTTTAACCAGTGAGCACATCCATGTCAAGTTACTGACCAATGGTCCTCATAGTCCTACACAACCATCTATCAAGCTGCTAAAAAAACATGGTTCTTGATTCTTTTTTTTTTTTTTTAGGATTTATTTTGCATACAAGAGCTGGGGTATGTAGGCCAAAGAGGTGGTGGTGCGGGGGGCGGGGGGTGTGGTGAAAGGATTCACCAGAGACAGAGTGGGGAGCAGAACAGGGGGACTGTCTGAAATACATTGCTGAGGGGTACAGTAAGGAGAAACAGGAGAGGTCTGCACCATGTGGACTACCTCTCTGGCCAGGATCTAACTAGTGCTGCAGTGACTGTGGATAGCTTCATAGTGCTGAGATTTCACCCCTTGCACCACCAGGGAGGCCCGGTTCTCAATTCTTTTTTTTTTTTTTTTTTTTTTTATTTATCCAGTTCTCAATTCTTAAGGCAAAATATATTTCATATGAATCACATGGTAAACTTATGTATATTTTTGCCTTTCATAGTCGTTTAGTTTCCTGTTAAAAGCTGCTTCTTGGGTATTTCATGAACAAATGCAATGCAATCCAATTAGAAAAGAACTGTTTGGCAGAATATTCTCTCTGCCAAAAAATACTATTCGAAACATTGAAATTTCATATCATAGACATTATAAAACAATCCATAATCAATTTCTTTCAAACTAGCAATGCACTAATGTATGAAATGATGACAGCCTATAATCACAGTAGCAGCAATAGAGGTCAGTGAAAATAGAAATTTCCTGACAGATAAGATGTGAAGAGCGAGAAAGAGAAGAATTAGAATGACTAAAAGATTTTGGAGTAATAAAACAGATGGAGTGCTATCAACTGAGATAGAAAAGACTGCAGGATAGTGCAGGCTGCTGAGATAGGGGCTGGGTGATATTAGAAATTAGAATATTACTTTGTGACCTATTAAGGCCATGCCATCTATTAGATAATTCAAATAGTAATATATCAAGCATGCAACTGAGTCTGGAGTTTGGAACAAAGTCTGAACTATGAGTGTATTTTGGAAAAAACTAGGCTAATAGACAGTATTTAAAAACCCTGTGACTAAATGAGATCACCAAAAAGTTATGAGAGAAAAGAAAGAAAAGAAACTATGCCCAAGGACTGAGTGCTATGACACACCCACATTAAGACTAAATGCCGGCCCTTCTCTATCTTTTTTGCCAGATTGTTCTCCTCTTGGGCATCCATGCATGTAGGTTGCTGCAATTTCCCTCTCACACTTCTTTCATTTATTACCACCAATTTCCACTCCACTATTTTAGCTTAGTCTTTTTTATTAGCTTTTTAACCAGTTCTTCAGCATCCAATCCTGAACCCAAAGGAAGTGTTTTGGATTCTAATTCCTATCATTCTTATTTGGGAATAGAATTGTGATTTCCTGTATATCTGTTACATCTGAATTTATAACTTGTTGGGAATTAGAGCTAACACAGAAAAATGAAAGTCATCCAGAAATCTAAATGCAATGTCCTGGCCTGACATCCTAGATGTTGGTGTCCACTTAGAACAAAAAATGAGTGTGCTAAACTCTCTCTCTTCTTTATCCCAGACCACAGATTGACCCTACCCCATCCTGACAGAGTAGCACAGAACAGACACTGCTGAAGATGAAAGCAATCCATAATTGCTTATCACTCTGAAATTATTAAAAGCTTTACTACTTATCAGCACACCCAACAACAGCAAAATATTATTTTTCTGATAAGAACACTTTCAATTTTTACATTATGCAACAGGTTTTTGTTTTTAATAAAAATGTAAAGCATAACATTATTTTAAGCACTATCCATATTTAAACATAATATTCCCGACTTTATAGGTTATTTGTTCATAAGAATCTAGGATACTACAGGGAAGTGAAGTATATACATAGATTAAACACAAGACAAAAGACTACAAGGTATCTCAGAGAGAAATGGAGACTATAGAAGGGAACTTGAAAAAGAGTAAAATTACTTTGATTATAATAAGAGAAAAATCACTTCTTTTTTAGGTGGCCCTTTACGATGACTAACATTTGACCACGGTTATAGCGTAGATTCCAAAAAGAAGAAAAAGCCAAAGCAAAGGCATGCGGTCAGGAAACTGAGTTTGTACAAGGAACAGCAAGAAATTGTAACAGAGGAATGGTGGAGAGCATTGAGAAACACAATTACCATGGTAGGTCATATTTTTGTGCTTGTTAAAAAACACACACAGAGAAATGATACAAATATTTTGATTGTTTTCAAGTGTGATTTTAAAATGTCTTGCAATAAAGCTAAAGCAGCTGTGACAACAAACTGTGTTGCTGTCAAATTCCCAAAACACACACAGGACATTTAAGTACTGAATTCTTTAGGAAACAGTCAAACCACAAAATACATTTTTCAATCATTGTAAAAGTGTTATGCAAACCTACAAGAGAGGAAATTTAGAGTGCAGGCTAGAATCACTTTAATTTGCTCCCCTTTGTCTGAAAGGAAAAAAATTAAAGGAAATATATTCAAACTCCTTTAAACAATGCTAAAAGAAATTAAAAATGGAATTCCAGAAGCTTGTAATTCAATATTCTGTAATGTTTTAGCTGCATGATTGTCCTTTAAAAAAAAAATGCTATTATTATGAAAGAGCAAATCTGATGTAAACTGATTCCAGTAGTCAAGATTCTATTTATAGACTTTTACCAACATTCCACAGAAAAAGTTGCTTAAGCAGAATTTCAAAGAGCTAGAGACAAAGTTAGAAATAAGCGGAAATATTTACATGCAAAGAAACGACAACGTAGAGCTGCTTTCCAATGTTCCCATAAACTAAGACCCATATATGCATGTATTTTCCCCAAGGGATATTACGATTTCCTTTAAATTTTCTCCTTTGTTTTACATTTGTCTTCCATTTATGGCATAAAAACTAGGAATATGATCATAACTGAGCAACAAACATGACAAGGAAAAACGAATCCAAAGTATCAGGAAAATTATTATAAGACTTAAAACAATGACACTACTTTGACCTGAAAAATTCCTTTGCCTATTTAAGCAAATACAGAGAAATTGCAGCCCTATTTTAAATGCCCCATTAGAACACTTGGCAAAAATGTATGAGACACCACTATTTCAAGCTCTGATGGAGTTGATGAAGTCATTTTATGATAGTTTTCTGAAAAATTCAATTCCTAAAAACAGATATACTGTTAAGTCAATTGTCTAGTATAACAATGGACAAATACAGAAGAATAAATGATATAAACTATTTCCCCTATATTTTGACATTTTCTGGAAAGTAAAGTTTTGTGAAAAAATTATTTAAGGTTCACCTGAAATTATAGTATATGCTACATATTGATTTCCATTTAAAATGTTGTTACTAAACAACAATCCAGTCAAAGAATGGGCCGAAGAGCTAATAGGCACTTCTCCAAAGAACATATGCAGATGGTGACCAGGCATATGAAAAATTTATCAGCACTTATCATTAGGGAAATGCAAATGAAAACCATAATAAGATACCACCTCACACCTGTGAGAATGGCCTATATTTAAAAAAATCAGAAACAAGTGCTGGAGAAGATATGGGGAAAAAGGAACCCCTGTATACATTAGGTGAGAATGTAGAACTGGCCCAGTTCCTAGGGAAAGCTTTATGAAGGTTCCTCAAAACACTAAAAATGGATC